GGACCCAAGGGTTCCTCACCACCAGCACCCTGGGGACCCAAGGGTTCCTCACCACCTGCACCCTGGGGACCCAAGGGTTCCTCACCACCAGCACCCTGGGGACCCAAGGGTTCCTCACCACCTGCACCCTGGGGACCCAAGGGTTCCTCACCACCTGCACCCTGGGGACCCAAGGGTTCCTCACCACCTGCACCCTGGGGACCCAAGGGTTCCTCACCACCAGCACCCTAGGGGACCCAAGGGTTCCTCACCACCAGCACCCTGGGGACCCAAGGGTTCCTCACCACCTGCACCCTGGGGACCCAAGGGTTCCTCACCACCTGCACCCTGGGGACCCAAGGGTTCCTCACCACCTGCACCCTGGGGACCCAAGGGTTCCTCACCACCAGCACCCTGGGGACCCAAGGGTTCCTCACCACCTGCACCCTGGGGACCCAAGGGTTCCTCACTACCAGCACCCTGGGGACCCAAGGGTTCCTCACCACCTGCACCCTGGGGACCCAAGGGTTCCTCACCACCTGCACCCTGGGGACCCAAGGGTTCCTCACCACCTGCACCCTGGGGACCCAAGGGTTCCTCACCACCAGCACCCTAGGGGACCCAAGGGTTCCTCACCACCAGCACCCTGGGGACCCAAGGGTTCCTCACCACCTGCACCCTGGGGACCCAAGGGTTCCTCACCACCTGCACCCTGGGGACCCAAGGGTTCCTCACCACCTGCACCCTGGGGACCCAAGGGTTCCTCACCACCAGCACCCTGGGGACCCAAGGGTTCCTCACCACCTGCACCCTGGGGACCCAAGGGTTCCTCACTACCAGCACCCTGGGGACCCAAGGGTTCCTCACCACCAAACAAACCCTCAGGGGATCCCTCCGTAACACCATCCTCACCGAATCATTGGAAGGCGGCCGCCATCACGTACCCGCCCGCACCGGTCACCCTCTCCATACACCTGACCAATAGCATGATTCACAGCGCCATCCACACCACCCTCTTTTTTATTAACATATTTAGGTACATCAGCATTTGTGCAACTGCCCTAGACTATGTGAAGGTGAGTACAGTGTGTCACAAAGCTAGCTACGTGATGCTAAAATCCTCATCATCACCATCATGGGTAGTCATACTGAGGCACGTGATCAGTAGTCTGCACCAGCAAACTCTGGGTGCATTATGAGGATATCATCATAAACACAAGAGTGAATAAAGTAATTGCAAAGCTCCAGGTTCCTCATGTCAACTGGTCTGATAACTGGGCATTCGGGGATGTAGTGTGGGAGATCATGCCGCAGTTCCTGCTCACAGAGTTTGCACCTGGAGTGCTCAGGATTGGGAGATCCGTCACCTGCAGCCACCTGCCACAGGTAACGGTAACCCAATTAACCTGATCCTGGCAACCACTGTGTCGCACAGTCTGGTCGACGTTTTGTGCTGTCCATAGACATAGGTTTCAGATCTAAACAAATCATAGCTTTTTATACTAGTGCTTTCAGGTCGTTGGGAGTCAGTAATTTCTCTCCTATCAGACCTGCGTGGAACAATATAGTTTTGACAGCAGAGATGGGGATACCTGGGTCTAATTCAACTTCATCTTTGTTACACGTTAATTTGGCTGCAATGTCTGTCTCATTATGATGGGTTATATTTATGTGTGATGGAATCCATAGAAAGGAGATTCGAAATCCTTGTCTCTGTGCAGTGACTATAGGTTATTTATAATTGGGAGTATGAGGTTCTTGCTGTCGATCTTCCTGGAGAAGTTTTCGATGGCTTGAAGAACAAATTTTAAATCACAAAATATTATTCCTCCTCCAATGTTTTATAATATACTGGTTGCTAAGTGTAATGCTGCTAGTTCTGCTTGTGTGGAGGTCAGCCAGTTGTTTAACCTGACACTGACAGTCTTTGTGCAAATATTATTTCTATAAAACCTACATGCTGCTCCAGTCCGTCCAGTAGAGGATTGGACTGAGCCGTCGGTGTAGACACAGTGCTCGTGAGATCTTAAATTTTCGATGGAGGAGGCAATTGTTTCAAGTGTGACAGCTTTGAGAAAAGCAAGATTCTCATTACCTTTCTTGGTGACAGGTGTGTATGATACCTTTCTTGGTGACAGGTGTGTATGATACTTGAATGGTGGGGTACAGATAAAGAGGAATATCAGAGACAGGTAGATTGCACTTAAAAGGAATGTTAAGTTTAATGAGATTGTAAGCATTGTTGCTCAGCCAATTATCATAAAAGGAGTGAGTTGGTATGTCGGCACCAGTCAAAAGGGTGTTAACAGCACTAAATAATTTGTCTCTGAGCAATGCAGGAGATGTAGGGTCTCTTATGACTTTAAGACAAAAGGTAGTGTTAACTTGCATTATTCTCTCTAGTATGGTTGGAAGCTTCAGTTCTTCCCACATGTTGATGATTCTTGTGCATCTTGGAGCACCAAGAATTATCCTCATGGCCTCATTCTGTACTACTTCAAGTTTGTCCAACACAGAGGAGGGGAAGTTAATTAAGTGCAGAGCATTATAATCAACTGAGATCTAACAAACTTCATATAGAATAATCTAGCATATTTAATATTGCCACAGATGGCGCCAACTCTACACCGACACCTTCCGTAGCTACCTCGATGGACGCATACTGTGACGTCATCACCACACCCATCGTACCTGGACCTACCTCGATGCGGTTTCGAGAGTTCTTCTACTCCCCAAGCCCAGCCTGGGTCCAGGCTTGACTTGTGAGAGCTTGGCCCACCAGGCTGTTGCTTGGAGCGGCCCGCAGGCCACATATCCACCACAGCCCGGTTGGTCCGGCACTCCTTGAAGACACCTGTCCAGTTTTTCTTTAAAACTTTCACTTTTGTTCTGGCAATATTTCTTATATTTGCTTGGAAAATATTGAACAACCGCGGACCTCTGATGTTCATACAGTGCTTTCTGGCGGTGCCTACAGCATCTCTACTCTTCACTGGCTCTATTCTGCATTTCCTATCATATTGTTCACTCCAGTATGTTGTTATTTTACTGTACAAATTTGGGACCTGGCCCTCCAGTATCTTCCATGTATATATAATATATATATATATATATATATATATATATATATATATATATATATATATATATATATATATATATATATATATATATATATATATGTCGTACCTAATAGCCAGAACGCACTTCTCAGCCTACTATTCAAGGCCCCATTTGCCTAATAAGTCAAGTTTTCATGAATTAATGTTTTTTCGTCTACCTAACCTACCTAACCTAACCTAGCTTTTTTGGCTACCTAACCTAACCTTACCTATAAATATAGGTCAGGTTAGGTTAGGTAGGGTTGGTTAGGTTCGGTCATATATCTACGTTAATTTTAACTCCAATAAAAAAAAATTGACCTCATACATAGAGAAAAGGGTTGCTTTATCATTTCATAAGAAAAAAATTATAGTAAATATATTAATTCAGGAAAACTTGGCTTATTAGGCAAATCGGGCCTTGAATAGTAGGCTGAGAAGTGAGTTCTGGCTACTAGGTACGACATATATATATATATATATATATATTAGTTGATATGTTTCTCGTCTCCTTTCTAAAAGTACATTTTGAGAGCTTGGAGACCGTGCCAATAGATTAGGTGGTTTATCGTGGCCATGTTGCTGTGTGTCCCCATTACAGTTACTGGGGACATTTTGAATCAAATTTGATTATGATATCAATATGGAAATGATAACAGTTTAATATAAAAAATACACCTAGCAAATGTAATGGGTTTTTCCACTACCACCCACGGGATTGGTATAGGGTACCGGATGGGTATGGGGACCACGACTACCCACGGGATTGGTATAGGGTACCGGATGGGTATGGGGACCACTAACGTCCATGGGATCGGTATTGGACCCACTACTGCCCACGGGATGGGTATGGGGGGCCACGACCACCCACGGGATTGGTATAGGGTACCGGATGGGTATGGGGACCACTACCGTCCATGGGATCGGTATTGGACCCACTACTGCCCACGGGATGGGTATGGGGGGCCACGACCACCCACGGGATTGGTATAGGGTACCGGATGGGTATGGGGACCACTACCGTCCATGGGATCGGTATTGGACCCACTACTGCCCACGGGATGGGTATGGGGGGCCACGACCACCCACGGGATTGGTATAGGGTACCGGATGGGTATGGGGACCACTACCGTCCATGGGATCGGTATTGGACCCACTACTGCCCACGGGATGGGTATGGGGGGCCACGACCACCCACGGGATTGGTATAGGGTACCGGATGGGTATGGGGACCACTACCGTCCATGGATCGGTATTGGACCCACTACTGCCCACGGGATGGGTATGGGGGGCCACGACCACCCACGGGATTGGTATAGGGTACCGGATGGGTATGGGGACCACTACCGTCCATGGGATCGGTATTGGACCCACTACTGCCCACGGGATGGGTATGGGGGGCCACGACCACCCACGGGATTGGTATAGGGTACCGGATGGGTATGGGGACCACTACCGTCCATGGGATCGGTATTGGACCCACTACTGCCCACGGGATGGTATGGGGGCCACGACCACCCACGGGATTGGTATAGGGTACCGGATGGGTATGGGGACCACTACCGTCCATGGGATCGGTATTGGACCCACTACTGCCCACGGGATGGGTATGGGGGGCCACGACTACCCACGGGATGGGTAAAGGGACACTTATACCGTCTTTAGGATTACAATGAATTCTTTGTTCATTAAAGAGATTTAAGTGATTCAGTTCATTGAATTAATTCACTGAAACTCAAGGAATGAAAATCTGTTATCTAATGAAATATAACTGGATAATCTTGTGCTAAAGTAGTGAATTATGTAATATAAATATATTAAGTCCAGGATTATATAAACTGCATAACGTAATATATCTTTCGTCTTCGTAGTTAAGAACACAGTGAACTATAACAAAAGGAAGACAAGTTTGTGACGTACCATAGACGGCGTCGTTGTCACGGTCGGAGGAGGTGAAGGGTCGACTGACGTAGGTGCTCATACAGTTGCTGGACACCGTGCCCGTCCCCGTGGAGCTGTAGGTCATCGCGTACCTGCAGGGGTCACTCTACCATCACTCAACTCTTCTTCACTACCGTACACACATCCAAACATTAATCAATATTCAATTGTATTCAACTGATTGAAATGCAATTCAATCAATTGTATTCTACTGATTGAATACAATTTATTCAATTTAGTGACTGAGTGAATTTTGTGAAATAAGTGATGGAGTTGTATGTCTGGTGCGCCCTCATTAGCACTACTGTATCCAAGCATGGAGACCCCATCTCCAGAAGGACATATAGCTGCTCTGGAGAAGGTGCAACACCGGGCACCAAAAATCATTCCAGAGCTAAGTCAACTCTCGTATGATGACCGGTTGAGAGCCACAGGACTAATAACACTGCAAACCAGGCATGACAGGGCGAATCTCATTGAAACCTTTAAAATACTGAACAATTTGGAGGATGTTGATCAGGACAGGTTCTTCAAAAGATCAGATGTTACACATACAAGGAGCAACGGTTTCAAGCTCAATAAGTAACAATGTAGGACTGAGAACAGGAGATGCTTTTCACCCACATGGTTATTAACTCATGGAACCCCATACCCGCCAAAACCGTAAATTCCAAAACTGTTAAATTTTAAAATCCAACTGGAAAAGTTCATCAAGACAAATGGGGGGACCTTCCACAAGCCCCCGGCCAGCTTCCTGTCCTCATCGAGGTCACTAGTGTTAGTGGCCCTCGGGTACCTGGCTACCTGGTTGGTGGGGTTCTGGGAGTTCTTCTACTCCCCAAGCCCGGCCCGAGGCCAGGCTTGACTTGTGAGAGTTTGGTCCACTAGGCTGTTGCTTGGAGCGGCCCGCAGGCCCCACATACCCACCACAGCCCGGTTGGTCCGGCACTCCTTGAAGGAAACAATCTAGTTTCCTCTTGAAGATGTCCAAACATCAGAGATTTTGTAAAGAGAGACGTGCATTATTCATAAAGTTTATGTTCAACAAGTCACGTCTTAAACAAATACAAGAAAGGAAAATGTGATGAGTCAAGTGGCGGGGTTTAAGAGCGAGGTGAGAGGATGAGTAACTTGAGCATCAACGGGCGCACGCCTTCAGTGGCGCGTTACTTGAACACCATCACCACCAGGGGCCACATTCACGAAGCAGTTACGCAAGCACTTACGAACCTGTACGCCTTTTCTCAATCTTGCTTAGCTTTGTTTACAATTATTAAACAGTTAATGAGCTACGAAGCACCAGGAGGCTCTTTATAACAATAATAACAGTTGAATGGGAAGTTTTCATGCTTGTAAACTGTTTAATAAATGTAACCAAAGCCGTCAAAGATTGAGGAAAGATGTACACGTTGGTAAGTACTTGCGTAACTGCTTCATGAATCTGGCCCCAGGCTCTCCTCGAGGGTTACAGTAACACTTTAACTCAGAGTTATTATCTCTCTTCTGGTCTCAACAAGGACAGGAAATCTGCGGCTTGTCAAAGGTCTGCCCCATTTGTCGCGATGATTTTATCAACTTAGATTTTGAATTTAAGCGTGATTTGCCATTTCCGGCTTTGGCGGGTAGACGGTTCCATGGGTTTATAACCCTTCAATGTAGAAGCTTCTCCTGTTAGATGTCCTACAACGTGCTTTGTTGAGTTGGAAACCGTTGCTCCTTGTTTATGTTACATCTGAGCGTTATAGAAGTGGTCTGAATCTATGTCCTCCAAATTGTTCAGTATTTTAATAGTTTTGATGAGATCTGCCTTGTCATGTCTGGCTTGCAGTGTTAGCCATGCGGCCCTCAACTGTTCCTGGTATATGGGAGTCGACTTAGTTCAGAAATGATTTGTATCGCCTGGTGATGAACTTTCTCTAGAGCAGATATATGTCTTTCTGAAGGTCTCTATGCTTGGATACAATACTCCAAGTCTGAGCGCCTCAAAGATTCTTTTCCTTGAAGCCAAAGATTCCTTTCACTATGCCTAGGGTTTGGTTGGCTATTTTTTATTGCAGTTCCCATTTGCTGAGCAACTTTCAGTGATTTGTGAATTCTGACTCCAAGGTCTTTTTCTTCATCAATCTGCCGTAAGATAATGTTGTTAATTTGATAGATGTGATGCGCATTGCTGTGCCCCCCCCCTATGCATGGCCTCTACGCCAGACAAATCTTTTACTCGGATAACACAAGTTAAAAATAAATTCATAATTCATTGTGTGTGTGTGTTGGGGGGGGGGGGACAAGCAGCCAGTTTACACACAGTGGAGCCAGGAAGCCTGTTTATACATATACGAAAAGTTAGGCTTATATCAAGTTTGCCCCCTCCCCCATGGATGCAACCCCACAACAAGCTGACTAACTCACTGGTACCTATTTACTGCCAGGTGAACAGGTGAATTAGGTTATTGGAAATGCTCCCAACTATTTCTGTCTCGCCCGGGATTGGAACCAGGAATCCTCGACTGAAATCGTGAACGAACCCGACTGTACTACTGGGACCCTTAAAGTCCTAGCCGAGGCACTACGCCAGAACAGAAAATACAGTTAATTAGAAAAAAATTATATAGAAAATTCAACAGAATGTATGATGACAAAAATCAAATGTTTAAATAAGCTCATCATGTAAAGCGATAAAGGTTAAATTAAAGAAGCCTAAACCAAAATTTATCTAATATGTTCCCCCGAGCCTAAGGAATACAAGAAGACATATTTGGGAGATGATGATGGAGGGACGCCAGAGAGCAAGATGCTGATGCAGTCGTGCTGACCACAACAGTTGAGTAAACAGCAGGAGCGGGTGATCTGCCTCACCACCACACTCCTAGCTGCCTCCTCCTCTCCCGCTACCCGGGATCACTCCTGGAGGGGGTAACAGGGCTCAAGACAGCAGTAAACAGCAACAGTTCTGCCTTGTAACTGACAGCTTTAGATGTTTACTGTTTTGAAACGTGGTAGATGGAACAGACAAGCTCTGCCACACATGTTGAGGTAGATGAGACAGACAAGCTCTGCCACACATGTTGAGGTAGATGGAACAGACAAGCTCTGCCACACATGTTGAGGTAGATGGAACAGACAAGCTCTGTCACACATGTTGAGGTAGATGGGACAGACAAGCTCTGCCACACATGTTGAGGTAGATGGGACAGACAAGCTCTGCCACACATGTTGAGGTAGATGGAACAGACAAGCTCTGCCACACATGCTGAGGTAGATGGAACAAACAAGCTCTGCCACACATGTTGAGGTAGATGGGACAGACAAGCTCTGTCACATAATATATAATTCATTTTTTCGGGTATAAGTATCCTATCCCCCGAAAATCATGCTCCTATTCGAGCATGCTCCTTTGGCTAGCATCCTATCCATGCTCGCCAAAGCAAGCAAGAGTCTAAAATACCTAGCCTTATGGTTACAGAAGCCTTAGATGATGGTAGACCACTATGACTCTAAAACCTTCTTTAGCTCTGGGGCCAGATTCACGAAGCAGTTACGCAAGCACTTTCGAACCTGTCCATCTTTTCTCAATCTTTGGCGACTTTCTTTACAATTATTAAACAGTTAATGAGCTCCGAAGCACCAGGAGGCTGTTTATAACAATAACAACAGTTGTTTATGAAGTTTTCATGCTTGTAAATTGCTTATTAAATGTAAACAAAGCTGTCAAGGTTTTAGGAAAGATGTACACGTTCGTAAGTACTTGTGTAACTGCTTCGTGAATCTGGCCCCAGGATTCCCAAGAGTGTCACAGCGACTAGTCCAAACTACCCACATGGTCTAAAACAGTTCTGACGCTCATACATCAAAAGCTTCCCTCCAGCCTGGGGAAGCTTCCCTCCAGCCTGGGGAAGCTTCCCTCACCAAGTAGTGCCCAGTTAGGATTCAGACGCCAAAAGAGTGCCAGCGGTGAGACAATAACTGACCTTGACGTGATATACTCGGCTCTTGACTAATATTATTGCCCAATATAACGGTTTGTTAACCTTCGAAAGGCTTTAAACACTCGTCACCATAATAACTTTCCATGTTAAACTACGAAACTATGAAGTCAGGGAGGTCATTGTATTAATGTGACCTCAGTGGTTGGAGACAGAGACCGATCTGTTGTCGACAATGACATACTCCTATACTACTAATTACCACTGACCTTCCCCAAGACACTATACCGAGTCCTTTACTCTCCATTACATAAATCAAAGATCCACTCAATTTAAAAATATCTCATTACTCAATGTTTAATCGAAGTTTTTGGTACGAAGCGGTTCAGAGCAAATTCTTCGGCATATAGTCGATGATATAACTATAATAATTCATTATTTATTTATTTATTTATTTATTTATATACAAGAAGGTATATTGGGTTTGTGAGGATACATAGCATGGTATTTACAATATTGTAAAGCCACTAGTATGTGCAGCGTTTCGGGCAGGTCCTTAATCATTGTGTCGGGGGGACAGGATGCCAGAGTGTATTCATACACGTTAGGCTTTTATCGACGTTCCCCCCCGCCCCGCCAGGTCGAATGACTGACCCCGCCCAGGATGCAACCCCACAACAAGCTGACTTACTCCCGGGTACCTACTTACTGATAGGTGGACAGAAGCATCAGGTGATAGGAGATACTCCCAACCATTTATGTCACGCCCGGGATTCGAACCCGGAATTCTCGATTATGCGTCGAAAACGAACCCGACTGCACTACCGGGCCAAATGACGCACACGGAAGACAGTCTCGCGAGTGTCAAGTCTCGCGAGTGTCAAGTCTCGCGAGTGTCAATATCACGCCTACAGGAAGTTGTCTCTTGCATATATGTACTTACTAAACTATCGGATGAGGCTTTAACTTACTTGTTGGTCTCACTGTCGACTTTCATGTTGGTGCGAGTGTAGTGGTGCTTGGCCCCCGTCGTGTACTCCATGTCAAGACGAACTGAATATTCTCTCCTGAATGTTAGCAAGTGGAGAGCTTCGTTGCCTGCGGAGTCAATATCAGTTTTAATACAGGAAATGTATTAGACCTCATCCACTATAGACAAGAATCAATGTTTACTGAATTGGAATTAAAGTAATCAGTTAATAATTACGATAATTAGCTCATAATTACTGTATACAGATAAAAAATGACTGCATTGGCATCAATTATTACTACACAAGGATCAATGATTACTAGGATCAATGAAAACTTTACTTGGAATAATGATTACTGTACAATGATAAATTATAATTATATTAGGATGAATGATGTCTGCACTAGGGTCCATAATTACTGTAATAGGATCAATAATTATTGTGGAGGATAAATGATTACTGTTTGAGTGAAGACATGAGAGGTGAGGTGACCAGTGGGACGCACCGAGCCAGTGTTCGCCCTCCGGGTTCCCAAACCCGGTCTTGTAGTCCTCCCAGGTGCGGTTGAAGTTCTCATGTTGACTTTGGTTCTGGCGCGCCAAGAACACCGTCCACCCGCCTCCGTCTGTCTCCATGTCACACCACACCCTCACCGAGCTCCCACACGTGCACCTGTGGTAGACGGGCACCTGTTACTGTCACTACCTGCTGCACCTGTCTGTGGTAGACGGGCACCTGTTACTGTCACTACCTGCTGCATCTGTGGTAGACGGGCACCTGTTACTGTCACTACTTCCTGCACCTGTCTGTGGTAGACGGGCACCTGTTACTGTCACTAC